GCAGAGCCGGACTTGGTCCCTCCACTGTTCCGTCACCTCATCCGTGTGACCCCAGTGAGGGGCAATCCACCTGACGGTATTAGCGCTCAGGGCGGACCGTTGTTCTGGGTGCGAGAAGATTTCCAGCTTGGCGTAGTTGATGATGAGGACAAGCTTGTACAGCACAAGCTTGCCTTTGACCATGGAGCAAGAGTCCATAAAGTCGATAGCGATATGCAGTATCTCCTCCGTGGTCAGCAGGCCGGCTAGCTCTGGAAGCCAAGTGTGGAAGTGCTGCACGGCTAATGTCTGGCTTCCAACAAGGACGGGGGCTGTGCTTCGCATCATGGCGTCGAGCGCCTTGAAGATGCTTCGGAGGTGGCGTGTGAAGCCAGGGTTTGAGCTCGTAATGCCGATACCCGCCTCCTTTGCCTTCTGCTGGCCCCTCGCGTGGGTGATGAATTTCAGGATATGCCGTGCGACTTTGAAAGTAGCACGCAGCTTCCTTGATGTCTCAGGCTCGGTAGGCTTGGACAAGAGGCGGGTGAACGACCTCACCAGACAGGGTGTCGCGAACGGGTAGTTGAACTTGCTCTCGGCGTACTGGTCCACCAGCGGAGCAAGGTTGAACCTCCTGTCGTGCACGATATCCAGGACCCGTACGAGCGCGGTGAACACGAGATCTTCGTAGTCATCATTTCCCGAGTACTCGACAAGGATGCCAAACAACGCGTCCAAGACATCACTCAGCAGCTTGACCACTTCAATTTCGGGGACGAAGATGAACTCTTTCAAGAGATTCGGGATCTGGTCCCGGGAAGATTCTTTCCAGCCGATGAGTCCCAGCACCACTCTATTTTGCGAGAATCTCGTGCTGCAAAGATATGTCTCCGCGCGAATCATGGCAAAAGGGCCAGTCACCTCAGGCTCGTCTCTGCCCCTGGAAGTGAACGGCAAGCTGAGATACCCGCCCTTTCCTGGTGCAGCCGGATGCGGAGTCACCGTGTTCTCGTCAATGCGATAGAGAAGAAGCCCGTGCGAGCCGTCACGAATGAACGCCTGCTGTTCCCAGAGAGGCATGTATGCGATCGCGAAAGGGGGGTTGGGTGCGTCCGCCAAATGCATCACGACGTGTGAGACGTGGACGTCCTGAGGCGCGAGGACCAGCTTGATGGTTTGTTTCCACTTCTCCCCACGTTCCGCCGCTACCGTCGTCCAGGTTGTCAGACCCTCGTTGTTGGATGAAGGGAATATGCAGTTCTCGATGCGCTCGCCCGACGCCTTCCGGACCTCAATGGTGAGCTGGAGGTTTTTCCCATGCATGTTGCTTGGGAGAGATGTTGCACTGGCTCCATACCGGGAGAGCAATGTCTGCCGCGTCAGGATGGCCTCGTCGATGGCCAAGTAGATATCGGACCTTGGTTTTGTCGGCGCGCCTGAGAAGCCAATCTTATTCGTCTTGGAGATTCCGGACAGCACTGTTGGGGTCGCTTTGATAAGGCCATCGGCATCGGGGTCGTTGAACGCCTTCAAGTGTACTTGCAATCGCTCCGCCCGTCGGGACTTCTCGTAATGCTCAGTTTTGCTCTCCAGGAGTTCCCGCACTATCGGATCCCACTCGCCCCCGTTCTCATTCCGGTCGGACTGCGATCTCACGGATGGAGCCCAGATGCTGACGACATGCTCAACCTCTTCGTCCTGCTTCATTATCGAGTTCAACTTGAGCACGCCGACGCCCACAGTCCGGTCCGCGGTCGTGTAAGTTGGCTGCATATCCATCGATGCGCGTCCCCTCGAGTTCCCGGTGCTTGGCGGCGGGCCGTCCCTGCTCTCGGCTCCTGCGGTTGTTTGGGGGACTTCTTCCGGCTGCTCTGACAGCGCGTCCAACTTTGGATTTCCTCTCGAAAACGCCGACCGAGTGCTCTTTCCAGCCCACATCAGGCTCCTACGCACTGATTTGTTACCGGATGACAATGGCGGTTTCGACGAATCTTTGAACTGCTGGAGTCCCTGGGATATCCCTTGGGTCATCGTCCCTGAGCGCGAGAGGGGTTTCGCTGTGGCGATGACTTGTTGCGGCGCTCGAATCTTCACCACCAAAAACAGCTCCGAGTCAACGGATGTCGCGTCGCCGATATCTGCAGAAGAGAGATCCGCAAAGAGGGTGCGCATCTGCATGTTCCGCGGAAGATGTCCCATCTGCCCTCCAGCGGGGACTTCGACGATGTAGCTCTCGGAAAGGGGCGTCATCGGTCCTCCGGGGGCCTTCATGGCGAGGTAAATGACCAGCGTCGTAGCCTCCGTCGACGCGCCCGCAAAGCCCTTGATGTCAACCAGCAGGTGATGCAGCGCAGTTATCTCGACGGGATGTGTTGGTGGCTCGTCCAACAGGCTCATTATCGACTGCAGCCGCGTTATCTCCACCACGGAGTCGTCCCCGTTGAGAACGCGCCCGCGCTCGTGCGGGTCGCGCACAATGACCTCTCCCCCGCAGAGCTTGTTGACGCGCACCAGGTCCCATACCGTCTTCTCTCGGAGGGTCTTGTACTCCCACGTCGTAAGGACATCGTGTAGAAATTGCTGCCGGGAAAAGTTCAAAGAAGTGATGAGCTGCGACAAGGTGTCAAGCTTGTTGTATTGGCGCGAGAGCAAAAGTTCGTGGAAGTTCGTCGAGTGCCATTCGCGGAGGCAGGACGCGATCTCGTCTATCAGAGGCTCGGATGCCGACGTCGGTGTCTCATCGCCAACCTTGAGCATAGGGACGGGCGCTGGCTGTCGTGGTTCGTTCGGGTCGCGTTTGACCGGCACAGAGAGCGTTCCTGGCTTGCCATTGGGCAATCCCGATGCGCCCTTGCGCGGGCTCGTTGGCTCGAGGCCAGCAATCGAGATCCCCGGGCCTCTGGATTTTTCTTTTCGCTTCTTCTTTTCCGCGAGCCCGCTCTTTGCCGAGTCGCTTCCCAGGTGTGGGGCATCGAGCGCTTCGTGGGCGCCATCTTCGGCTTCTTCGTCGTCGGTGTCGTCTGACTCGCCAAGCACTTCGCGCACCTCGACGCAGCTGCGTGGGAAGATGCCGCTGAAGACGCGCGCTTCAAGAGTCTGGCCCTTTACGCTGGTGAGCCCCGCCAGCAAACTGGGCGGCGCGACCAGGTACCCGCGTAGCCAATTGCCATCTGGTGTTTCCTCGATGATGTACAGCTCGTCGCCAAGCTCGAGCGGGAGGTCGGCCGGGCTCGAGGCCGCAAATGGGTACGTCGCTACGGCGAAGGCGATGCGAGGCAAGGGTTGCCAGGGCATTGTGTCCAGGAATGCATTTACCACAGGGCTGATTGGGAAGCGCAAGTCTGGTGTCGTTTTCTGCGACTGCGCGCTTCGTCGTGGGCAGTCGGCCGCTGCGAAACGGTTCGGGTCCGGTTACCTCGAGCTCCAGCTCTCGGCGGCCCTTCTCAGCTGGCAGCCCGTTCGTCCCTCCCAGGCGATGGAAGCAGAGCTATGATTCTTTTCCCGTCGCAATGCGGCATTCATGGGGTTCGGATGGTGTCGTGTCGTTTGTGAGGGGTGCGTGGACTGAGGTGTCGTCGGTAGCAGCTATCGGAGAGCTCGACGTGGGTCTCGGGGAACAGGGAAGCTGCTGGCGCGGTTGCTGAATTTAGCGACCGAACATCCCCCGAATGCACGTCGCAAACCTCGGGCCCAGTCTGGTTCAATGGGCTCGATGGGAACAATTATACTCACATTGATTGCTCCCGTGTCCTTGGGGCCAAAAAGATGCAGCGCGAGGTTGGCAAGAAAAAATTGTGAGGGGAACGCCAAGGGTCTCCCACCACGCGTGTTTCTCCCAGGAGCGGCACAGGGGCGTTAGTGCGCGGTTCTGGATTTGGAAAGCGATGATCACATCAAAGTCGCCCAATCACCAGACTGAGCCACCAGACTGAGCCGCCCAACGGAATGAGTTCAACTCGGAGCACAGAAGAAATGTTCTTGACGAACCCGATACTGTTTCTTCGGTCCTTGACAGTCCCGGGTCGCAGCTCATCGGGAACTTTGCAAACCTGGAAACTGGTCCGTGCAGGCAAACCGCCGACCCGACTTGGAAGTTTGCGACCAAAGGAAGGTCTCCTTTTTCTTGCTCCAATCTTCAATGTCTCACCTAGTCGAGCCCACACGGCGGCTATCTGCACAGTACATCTGTGAATGTTCTATCCTTCGCCCAGTAACTTCTCAACACTTCAATTACCTCAATGCTTCATCACTGACCATGCTGCAACATCTGGGAGCTTCCAGGTTGAGAGCTGCGGGAGGGGTTGATACGCTCAGGCCCCGTCGGACATACAGCGAGCAGGTTGGGATCGCGCGAAGATGGGCCCCCAATGGTCAACCAAACTCTAGGAGAGCGGCCCTCCCGTCAATCTGCAAGCACTTGAAGCCGACAGGACCCATCATCAGCCAAAGGCCCAGACGAAAGACGCCGACGAGGTCGGTGCGAAGCATTCAATATGGAGCCGCTTCCCAACCACTTCGGCTTTCAAGTGGCATGTGCGCCACAGCCCACACTCACGGTCACCATGAGGAGAGGCCACGACACATCTTGATATGCAAATTACCATGGTTTGAAGCCATCGCCAGTGCCGTCTTCATCGGCGCAGTGCAAACATTTTGTTGACCGCATGCCAAAGAGGGCAAATCCATCGCTGCGATGCATCCCACGTCCGTGGGTCCGTGCCCCTGCAATGCGGGCAAATCCTCAAAGTGGATCCCTTCCCCCCTTTTCTGGGGTTTGACCCCTTTCCGTCTGCAAGACAGCACACGTTCAACCTGTGATGAGGCACCCGTGCATCGACGGGCACTTGCCGCCATGCTTCTAGAAACCAAACGTCGGTGCAGGCGGCGTTGTCAAAGAGCACTTCATCTGAGACCTTTCTACATTGTGCAAAAATATGGCAAGACCGTCCAGACGAGACAATCTCACAATCACGTGGAATTACCCCACACAACCTGTTGTACTTCAGCCGCAAAAAGAGAATTGACCCTGACCCGATTTGAACGGATAACCTTCTGATCTGGAGTCAGACGCTCTGCCGTTGAGCCACAAGGCCTCCAGTTTTTGTTTTACAACCGCTCACTTCGATCTATGTTCGCAACGCTATTCTCGCAAGATGATTGTCCGTGCTCAGGGGTGGAGGAGGAGGTCACTTGTTGTCGGCTTGTCTTAAGCAGAACAAGCTCGGAGGTTCCAGAGCACCATGCGACGTGGATGGTAACTCGTGTCCGCATCGTAAGACCGATGAATGGGTCTCTTTCATGACATCCCTGGATGTTTTCGCGTGCCTGAGGACATCTTGGAACCGCCTTTTCCACCCAAGCCTGCTCATCAACACCAAAGAGGATCCTGTCGTACGCAAATAGACGGCACTTGTCAAGACGGAAGACTAAGATATCCGAGTTTCTTCTGGGCCACTATCAAATTCGCTGGGTTGCTGGCACGGGAGCCTCAACCCGCCAACTCTCTTCCCGGGTATGCGGCCTCGACCCTCTTTGTTCAATATTGATCGGTAATTCAAAGAGTTTATTCGTGTTGTATGCGACGAATCTGGGCCCATGGAATTTCCAACCTCACGCACGTGACGTTGTTCATCCTAGCTCAGGCTCGACCCAGTCGCTGCTCAGGATTCGCTCAGGTTGGCTCACCTTTGCTCGCCCTTCGTTCCTTGTAGGTTCAGAGTCTAGGGCTATGTTAGGTGAAGGCAGGGCCTATCTTGCACGACCATTTTCGGCAGGCTGCGCCGCAGCATGCTGAATCGCTGCGAAAGAGGTCACTCTTCTGGGCTGCCTCGGCTATAGTTGCCACAGTCGAAAATAGCGCCGTGGAGGACCCAGTTTTGGGTCCTCTCATGAACCACTACTGTTACTAATTCCTCAGACACCAAATTGCACTTTCCATAGTCAAACGAAAGATAAAAAACCTGCTATTTAAGAAGCCTCGTGAGAGAGTGCTCTCTACATGTACGCAGCTGCGTTGGTCTAACCCCTGGAAGGCAGAAGATTACAGAATCGTCATGATTCCCGTTGTGGGCCAGTGCGTGAGTTGCACTCGCGAGATCTAGGCAGGGACAGCAGGGTCCAATTTGGGGGTGGGGGCACCCTGGGGTGGATGATGACCGGAGGGCACCCCCACTCCCCCTGAATTCGATCCGTTGTAAACCAAACCGATGAACTCCCAGGTACAAAGACTCGGGCTGAAAGAAAGGTCCTACAAGCAGTTCGAATGACAGGCTGGCGCTGTGTTGTCAACCATCTCCAATTTTGACTTCAGGACTGGATGACCTTAGCAAAAGGACTTTTTGGGAATCGTAATAGGCCGTGGTAAATCGATATCTATCTTTAATCCCCTGTCATGTGTGGAATACCTATGCCTCCCCTCGAGAGAGCGGGGAGGCGGGAATTTTGCACAGCTTTTTGTTCCCGATGGTGCCAGAAAAGCCAGGCTGCTGCCGTAAGTGCCGTGAGGGGGACAGCAGTGGCAAGATATAGCCAGGAATCACGGAGAAGTCCTAGTCGAGGAGTTTCGCCGGTGTCCTTGACCACAAAAAAGTTCATTCCAAAAAGTGTCTAGGTTTGAGTATGTTAGCGAACCCATCCTAGCCTTTGGCAGGGGAGAAGGCTAGGTAAGGTGCCTAGGTAAACTTACCGCCAAGAAAGAAGGAGGTAGGTAAAGGAGCGTGATGAGCGTGATCATTCTCACAGATCGAGCCGTGCTTTCGGACTCGTATGCGAGATGGAGGAGCATGCTGTTGTGGCCATGAGAGTGTTGTGCGAGCGTGTTGGTGAGCCGCCCATGTGTTTGAATAACTTCATCATCCTTCATCTTGAGGATATTGAACACCTGTGCAAATTAGCCCCTAGTCCAACGGCTCTAAGCTTCGATCGGGTAATGATCAGGGTCGTACCAGTTGGGTGCAGCCGCTCACGTGCTCCGCGAGTGTTTGTAAGGTGTAGAGGTTCGACCTTGTCTCATCCTGCCATGCGGCTACCCATAATGAAAGCTCTCTGTACGGCGAGCTGGTATGCACCCGACCGTCCTCTCTTAGCCGCGTGCCCGATTCTAGGGCGTGGCCGCATCGCTGCAGGCCGTTAAGCGCATCTAAATTTTCAACAAGATTTTGTCTGACAATGTGGAGGTGCTGAGCAAGCCATTGGAGTTGCTGCATGTCTTGAATGTTGATCTCAAATTCGTCGGTGCCGTCAGCCTTGATATTGACAACCTCGGAGTTGAGTGCTCTATCGTTCTAAGGAGACATGACGGTCAGAAATCTTCCGAGAGTAACGATTACGCTAGGCATTGCGAAGGGCGTCTCAAAGACCCACTAGTTGCTTGCACTCGCTCGAGAGATAACGTAGGTACTCGGCCCAATTTTTGGCGGCGAAGTGCAGTATGATGAGCTGGGCGGAGACTGATCGCGCCTCGAGTTCGTCGGACGGCGCCAGGTCCGCTTCGTGTTCGCCTGCCCGCGCGCAGAATCTATCCTGTATATCTTGGCCCGGATGTACCAAAATCCAGGAGCAAAACCGCCTGCGGAAGTCGGCACGGTGGCAGACAGCCATCTGGCGCATCGACCACGGGTTGTTTAGACTACGGCCATGCTTCTCGACATACCTGAGAGAAAAATGCATCTCTACAAGGTAACGTTGAACGGTCAGTACCGCTTTCGGCATTGGCCGTGAGAAAAAAAAAAGAAAAAAAGGGATACCTACCGTATTCATCGGGAAAACCACACGAAAGGCTAGCATCTGGACTGGAAAGGTGAGGCTCCATGCGAAGAATCCACCAGGGGGGGTTCGCCTCCGATATCCTCGCACCGCACAGCCGGATAATGCGGAGGAACGATGGGAAGACAGCGTAATAATCCACTATCCGGACCAGCAACTCCCGTGTGATGAGCATGCGGCTCCAGGAGTGCTGTTTGTTGATAAAGCTGGGGAGTTTAGCCGTGCGCTATGGCTCCCACAAAGGTGATTACCTTCGTGTTAGGTTTGGGATCACGGTCCGTGTTTTGTCTGACCCAGTGCTGGGTGCCTCTGAGGCTGTGTGGTGGTGGTGTATGGGTTCACCCCTAGCTCAGGGAAACATCAGGGGAAGCTCAGGACGACGAACGAAAAAGGAAGTTTTGTGTGCCCAGATTCGTCGCAGACAACCAAGCTGTTGTTGAATGATATGGCACAGCCCAATTTGTCATATAGCTCCTCTTTGGATTGATTCTTCCACTAATTGAAGTTGTGCAACCTCAGCCCCCTTTCTGCCTTGTGGGTTTCGACACAATATGCCTGTGTGGTCCAATGTAACGCTGTATTTCTCCTTTTGCTCCCTGAAGCATCTGCCAAGGACGGAAGGATTTTGCGGGGTATCTCGTAAACAATTTCATCCGTGACGGGTAAACAGCCCTGATCGGGATCTACAATGAGGATGCCCACCTGACGGCCCATAAGAGTCTCAGGGACGACCCTCATTGACGAACATTTTAAATCACAAAAATGGCCTCTCCGCGTTGTGACAGTTGACGGGGGCATCAGGTTGCCCGCTCGAAACGATCAAGTGCTTCCATGGCAATGGAGTTACCCGTCGTTCTTGCCTTGTTGGGCCTCACGGCACTTTGTTGGGGAGGACCCACCCGCGACGGCCTGCAACAGGCGGACCGCCTCGAACGGCGTCAACAACCAGACATCAAACGGCTCAGCATCAACCCCAATCCATGTGATGATTCTACTTTCCTAACTCCAGTTTATGTCGTCAGCAATGTCACAGCGAGCAAGACATTCTACCCAATCCCAGCCGAGGGCCCAAGCCATGTCAACTTTACCGTGGTCGATGTGGCCAATAAGTATGCCCAAACCTGCTTCTGGGCGCGAGAATACACCCTAAGCTGGGGCCGCGAAGGCGAGGGGCCCTACGAGAGCCTGAGGGTTAGATCTGATTGCATCCCTACGAACGACCCGAACGTCAATCGTTTCCACAACCTCCTCGGCCCATCGCTCGAAAACAACAACACTATCCATCTGTCACAAAATTGGATCTGCAATGCTGCAAGTGGAGAATTTCCGTAAGTTCTTTGATTTCAAGCGGCATGGACAGGGGGATGTGTACCGCGCCATGCCCTCGGTCTGTTTCCACTTTATCTACGCCATCCCGGTCAAACCCCAAGCAACAAGGCCTCAAAAAACGCCTCGGCTGCATCGAAAATGGCCTTGGTTGTGTTGGTACAGCCCCTCAAGTCACATATCAGGGTGGTATTGAATACACTCGCAGCCCAGGGCATGGTGCAAAATATCGAGGGATTCCTGTGCCTTTGAACAAGCCAGACTGACGCATACTTCCCCCACAGACCGGTCTACGGAGCGCAGGCTACCTTCCCAGCCCTCGAATTTCTCTGCCCGTTTACGGGTGCCAACGGAACGAGCCACGAGTGCCAGATCTCAAGCCTTGATTCAACGGGCTTGCAGTCTATTCGGTCAACATTCAAAGGGCCTTCCGACTATCCATCTCTGCCAGCCAACCCCCGTGCCACGGATCCGGAGGCCGTACCTCGCCGGCAAAGTCCCTTCCCGTCAAAGGACTGTAGTCTCGCCTCTTTGACGTACCCGGACTGGACAGTTGACGGCGTTTCCTTTTCCAAAGAGAACAACGATCTTCAATTCCTCGTAACCAGCCGAGCTTCCGAGAGCAAATTCCGTTGCTCTACATCGGGACAAACCAAGACGACAACTGCCGCATCGTTGAATGATGGGCTTCTCCACGCCGAATGTGTGCTGCACGGGGTTACAGCTGACCCGTTGCACACACTGCCGACCCTGAACGCCACGTACGACGCCCAAACCAGCAAGATCTCGCTTCAACAAGAGTGGTCATGTGGGCATGACAAGGGGGAATACAGCACAACCTTTGTCGGCTCCGGATCCTCCATTCTCTCATCGACAAACACAACCTTTGTCAAAGGCTCGCTCATCAAGCCTGTGAATCTCACCCCAGGCATCATTCCCGCACCGCCGAATATCGACAGTCCCGACTGCATCCCCACCTCAAACCCTTCGTGGGTGCTTGAAA